CAAAGAAATGATAATCATGAGTTCTCTTTTTAAAATTAAACATTAAGATGTTGAGGAAAGGAAAAACTAAGAAAATACATGTTTTTGGAATATTCTGAATATATAAATTATCTTTTTCTTTCATGACAATTTTACCTTGACCTCTGACTTCTGGATACTACTGAAAAATAAACATATAATAATCACAAATGAAGAACCTTTGAAAATTTTACTTTCAACAGAGCCACCTTTACCAATACAAATATATTTTCTCCTGAAGAGAAAATAATGAGGTCAGGGCTGGTCCAAGAGCTTAATATCCTTAACATATGAAAGTCTGAGAATTACTCAACCAACCTCATTTCAAAGATGAAAACGAATGTGTATTAAAGAGTGTAGTGATGCATGATTGGCCAAGCTATCCTGTGTGGCAAGAGGATGTGAAATTACAATCCTAGAATTACAATCTTAATCCAGCATATGTAGATGCCCCTTATAATGATCCAAGAAAAGTAAATCATAATGGAGAGGGTTGCTGGGAAAGATCCTTTAAGCTATGAGGATTCTGTAACACTCCAAGCTATTTACTTAGAACTTCTATGGTGATATGAATAAGAATGGCAGCCATAGGCTCTTATAGTTGAATGCTTAGTCACCAAAGAGTGGAACTCTGATAGTATTAGAAGGATTAGGAGGTGTGGACTAGTTGGAGGACATGTGTCACTGGGGGTGGGCTTTGAGGTTTCAAAAGCCCATGCCAGACCCAGGCCCTCTTTCTCTGCCTGCAGATCAGGATGTAGTTCTCAATTATTTCTCCAGCACCATGCCTGTCTGCTAACAAGCTCCTGCCATGATGATAATAGACTAAATCTCTGAAACTGTAGTAATCCCCCAATTAAATGTGTTCCTTATAAGTGTTTGCCTTGGTCATGATGTCTCACAGCAATAGAAAGTGACGAACACACCTTGCTTCCACTATTCCTGAAGAAAGCAGGACTAACCTACTTAAAGATGCATAATGCCAAATGTTAAAAACACAGAGCAGATCACAAGTACCACAGTGAATACAAAGCAGGGCATTATCCTGAAAGTCAGTGTAGCTTTAAATTCTTGAGCCTACACAGTGCTAATTTCATTGGGTACAGGGTGTAAGCAGGTGCCAGGCTTGGTGAAAAGTGCTGAAGACAAAGCAGTGGTTCAGACAGTTCTGCAGTGCTGCAGACTGACTCTGATCAGCTGAGTGCAATTTACTAAGCCACTATCCTCTGAGCTTTCTCAGCTTACACTTCCTACTGACTTTGACTACCTGACTCTTTCCTGAGGAGGTAAATCAAATTAGAGGATCACCTGATTTCAATAGCAGCCATGTCTACTTCACACCTGCAAGTCACATAGCAACCATAGTCACATATGCCTTGTGACCACTTAGAGAAAGGCTAGCTAGGGATTTAACAGTTAATTAGATTTCCTGTTATTGAACTCATGATACAAACCCCAGATGAGTAATTTGCAAGGTGTGAGACATGAAGTATGGAAGGCTAAAAGGATGGAAAACATTAATAGAACTGTTTAATTAAAATACAGAAATGCTATCTTGAATCAAAGTAGTAATACAGTTACCCCACCAACAATTTCATATGTAAGAAATTTAAAACTTGGCCAAAAAGTGTTCAAGGAGAGTGGACCTAAGAAATCTTCTTGAATTAAAGTTTTTGGTCTATTACTAACAACATTAGATATATTTATGTACTTTCAGGCATAATATGTCATATCCTATTTAGTCACTTGCTATTTATTATTAATTCATTTAATCCTCACAGTAATTTTCATTATACATAGGGAAAGAGAGGTACAAAGTCACAATGACTTTGTTTCAAATACAGTTTCAAATACAGCCATCATTTCAAATACAGTTAGTTTGGCTCTAAACCCAGGGTATGCTCAGCATATGCTCTGCCATTATCCTATATACCCCCAGATCCTGACTTTAGACTTTTAATCATAGTTTATATAATACTAAGTGAGGAAGTATAACAAATATTCTAGAAAACATTTATAGTACTTTCAGATGTGTACATCAAATGTATTAGATAACACAAAATTTTCACATATAAAACCTTATATTAACAATGTATTTAAGGTATATATGTTATCTAATTCCAATAGATAACAAATAGAGATTGAAATCCAAATGGCCCAGCTAGAACTTTAGTATCTCTTTCTGTATTAAACTTAGGAGATTTCCTAACATGTTATCTAGCTATTTCCTTTAAATTCAACTGTTCTATTCTGAAGAAGAAAAGAGCTACAGGAAGCTAAGGAAACTTAGTAAGCTCAGAAAGTTCTAAGACTCACAGGCCTGTTGAGGTTGTAGAAGCAGTAAACAGTTACTGGGGAGAGGAGACTCTTCAGTGGAGGTACCTACAAACCAGGCAGAACACTAGGGAAATAGCTTTTGGGGGTCATCATTCAGGATGCAGTGGGCTATCTAGTGATACAGCTAGCTTGCAGCCACCCATCCAATCAACTCACTGCTAAAGTAGAATCATGTGGAATAGAAACTTTGGTCTGTTGGTGGTGCCTTTTCTGGGGGAATAGTCATTGGCTGACATTTTCCCCAGGAAAAGTCATACAACTCATGCATTGTCAAATGCAATGCATCAGGTACAAATATACAGTAGTGCATTTAAATATAAGAGACAAACTGTAAGGATGCCAGATGCAGGCAGGGAGGTGTGGGTCAGAGACAAACATTACCAATTACCCACCATATTTCAGGTAAACTCCTGTCATTCCCATTTCATATGTACTATTTTAAAATTTATTTTATGTGTAGTGTGTGTGTGTCCATGTGTGTGTGTCTGAACACTACATGCATGAATTACAGACAGCTGTGAGTCACCATGTAGGTGCCGGGAATTGAAGCTGGGTTCTCTGCAAGAGTATTCCTAACCACTAGGCCACTTCTCCAGCCCATTATAAGTATTCTTAACTGTGAAAAAACAAAAACAAAAACATTAAATCCACTATGAAATTAAACACATAATTTAAAAAATGGAGTAGTATATAGATTGCTCCGGCCCCAATGCCTCCTTTTCAGTACAGTATATTGGCTTAATAGCAGAAAATTATTTTTTAAAAGAATTTTTAAATTTGTTTACAACAAGATCACCATAAACTAGTATGTGTTTGCTTTTGCAAAAGCTCCTACATATTATTATGCTGCATAAATGCAATGTACTGTTGAGATTATGTTTGGTATTAGACCTGTCACATCTACTAAGGCAGCAAATGCAGATGTTTAACCTTAAAGGAAGGAAAGTTTAGAGTGAATAAAATAACAACTCCCTTCAAGTAATTAAAAGGCTATAAGGTAGAATAACAGGCATTAGATTTTAGGTCAAAAAAAGAAAGAACTTTACAGTGAAACATCAAAACTGGAATAGACCACCTCATGAGATACGCAATTAGAGCTTAAGTAACTAAATATTAGGAATTCACAACCAAGGCAAGTGTGAGCCAGTGAACTCTCCCTCTGCCTCTGTTTCAAATTTGGTTTTCCATGTAACACTGGACATTCCATTTTAGATTTTATGTTTGGGCAGGGAGAAATTTTGATGTAGAAACAAACCTAAACACCATTGGGTTAGATACACAGATTTTTTTCAACTCAAATTTCATATACTTTAAAAAAATGTTTTCTTCACATTTATTTATGGTGTGTGGGCTGTGGGAGTTGATTCTCTCTTTCTGTCATGTGGATGTCAAGGATCAAACTCTGGCTTGGGGTGAACAACTGACCAGCTAAGTTATCTGTCCAAATTTCAAATTCTTTTTTTTTTCCCCCACATCTCAAATTCTTAAATGGTTTCAAGGTTAAGAACACAAAGTCTTATCTTGATTTCAAAAGAAAGGAAGTTAGCACAATCATACCATTTTTTTCTGCAAAGGCAACTGCGTCTTCTTTGGTACTGAAGGTTAGAACCATGTTGGAGAGGGGATCAGCCCTAGAAGAAAGAATGCCCATGATTTAATGTTAAGTTTTGGCTGCAAAACAATCAACATTCCAAACACAATGTTTAGAAAATAAACGGCTGGTATATGACAATATTTTATTTGTAATAATCTCTGAAAAACAATACTTTTCTATGTTAAAACTTACCTTTCTAGTATGCATTATCTAATAATAAAAATCAGAGAGGCAGGCCGGGCATTGGTGGCACACTGGAGACCAGGCTGGCCTGGAACAAACAGAGATCTGCCTGCCTCTGCCTCCCAAGTGCTGGAATTAAAGGCGTGCACCACCAACGCCCGGCTTAAAAATATTTTAATGTGTACGCATTTGTGTGTACACAAATGCCATAGCACACATGTGGAAGTCATAGGACAGCTTGCAGGAGTTGATTTTACCCACTGAGCCAACCCATTGGTCCAAGAAACTATTTTCCAACTTTTAAATGTTCAGCTGAATGATGAGCAATGGCAACGAACCAGTTAGCCATGTTGGACCACAGTGGTAAACAACTGCATCACTAAACTACCATACTCAACAGGTTAGCAGTAGGGAACGTCTTCAACTTATGACATTTTCTATTTGTAGTGAGTTTGCTGGGACATTAACCCCATTGAAGTTAAGAAACATCCATATACTATAACTTTTTTAAAAAACAAACAAACAGCACCTGTTCTCCACAAGCCTTTCATCATCAACAATGTTCTTTTAAGGGAAAGGTCTACTTAAAATAAATAAAAAACAAATTTTATGTTTATAAAAGCATATTCATGTTTGCTACAAATGTTTAATGTAAATCTCTTAGAGATGAATATAACATTCTGTGGAAACTGTTCAGAAATACAGAAGTAGGGCGCTAAGGACATAGTTTGGCTGGTAAAGCCCTTGCCGAGATGCAAGAAGCCCTAGGTTAATCCCCAGATAAAACTGGATGTGGGAGGCATATACTTGTAATTTCAACACTCTGGGATGAAGGATCAGAAAATTAAAGTTATGTCTCACTACATAGGGAATTCAAGATTAGCCTGCACTACCTGCCACCCAATCTTGAGAAGAAAAAAAGAAGAACTACTTTGGATATCTCTCACTGATCTGAAGTCCCACAGATTGCTGCTGAAGTTCTGGCCATACACTGTGAGCTTCTCTAGGATAAATCCCTCTTGCAAGAAAAGAAAACCCTTCTATTATTGACTGGCTGTGTTAGTATCAAAAACTAAAGATAACTTTGTATTGAAGCTCCTTTTCAAGGCACATATAGCTTCTCAGTTGATAGTTAAATAAACTAGTTATACTCAGAAGTGCCAATGTAAATATGACCCAATATAAATTTGAAGAGTTTTGACAGGCATGCTGGATTAGTTCAGAATAATAATAGTGGTGTGTGTGTGTGTGTGTGTGTGTGTGTGTGTGTGTGTGAGAGAGAGAGAGAGAGAGAGAGAGAGACCTAGAAAGTCAAGAAACCATATACACATACAACAAAGGTGATAGAACTTTTTAATTATCTGCTTTATGAAGAATTACATGTAAAAACTGTTAACAAGTGATCATTCTTCTAGTCAGTTTGACATTCTCCTTCTCTCTTATATTTTATAATTCTTTCTAGGCTATGTTGCTATCAAGATCTTAATCTTTCTGTCTCCTGTTTTGATTCCACCCCACCATTTAACATGTTACTGAAAGGTTCAGGCATTATGCTGGCCTGCCCCTGTTACCTGGTGGAACAGGCAGTACCCTGGTCAGCCCAAGGTTCCATGGGAACTAAGTCTACACGCAGGTTCAGAGGACCCCTTTAAAAGACAAGTCCCTGCCCATTTACGCTCTCTGTTCCCTCTCTCTGTTTCCTGCTCTGCTTTGTCTCTGCTTTCTCTCTACTCTGTCTCCCACCTATGCTCTCTCTGCCTGTCTATGGTGACCGACCATGGCGGTCAGCCATTACCCTGTTCCTTTACTCTTCTTAGTGTCCCTACTCTGCCGGGCCTTATAATAAACATATAGTCTTATGTCTCATGTCTCAGCATTTCTCCCTTTCTTCTTTTTAAACAAAAGAATAACAGTTACCACATTTACCTTCCTATTATTTATTTCCCAAACCTAGTGCCAAGTCAAGCCTTCAAACAGTTTCTACTGCCCACTGTGGTGGTGTCCACTTCCTTTCCATGTAAGCGCTTGTATAGTATGGTCAGTATGCTTTTTCAGACATTTTAAACTATCCCTTACAACAGTCAAATCAGAATTGCTTCTAGGAAAACACAGCCTGAACTTTCCTATCAGTTCAGATGTTCCTTCCATTGAGAATACTTTCGTCAATACATATGGAGATCCACCCCAATCGTTTCTCGTGGCTCACTTTGAGTACCAATCTATCCCATGAAATCTCCCATACCCTATCCTCTGCAGCTGTACATCTTTCAATCTTTATAAGTATATTTCTACTTTCACTTTTATACTCTTATTTGCTCAATTCTCAACTACTGAGGTTCCAAGTCAGTAATGATAAAGAAACTTATATCTTCGGAAGTGTACCTGACTAACAAATGCATACAAAACAATTGTAAACTCTTACCAAAACAGACAAAAGTGGATGAGAGAGAAACCAAAAGCAGAAATAACAAACTAGCTGTATGACAAGGAATGGTTTATTCTGGCATTCACTCTGCTACCCTATTGGATTAAGGAGATTTATACTGTAAAAACCTTAGGCCAAACTTGTGATGATTTTTGTATCTTATAATATTTTTCAAGTTGACATAAAGATAAACCTTTTACCTTTGTGCGCTAACATTTAAAAGACTCGGGTAATTAAAAGAGCATAAGAAGCTTGTACTTCAGATACAAAATGTCAATACAGTATTTAAAAATGTGAATTTTGAAATCTTAAAAACAAAGATAAAGGCACACTTGTCTTTAGAAAATGGCCTTTCAGAAATTATTTTCTAAAAAGTAGTACAAATAGTTAACAATGAAATTTATTCACTATATTTAAAACAAAATTCATTAGTTATAAAATGTACTTCCACAGCAACCTCCTTATCTGCCTCCACTGAAACATGCAAAAAATACAAACAATATCTAGGATCAAGCTTCTGTCACAACACTAACAGTAACTGCAGAATTGCTTTTTCTGTTAGCACTGATCTACCCTGGGAATCAGTGTCTTTTCTATTTGTGTATTAATTGCAAGTCAGGAAAATAACTCCCAAACATATATAAAAGATTCTCTTTCTAGGTGCTATATCATGTTTCTTGCACTTCTAACTGTAAAACTTCTTCACCATTGGAACTATGTCTCTGTTAAATCCTCCATGTTACTGTATCCATATGGTAGATTCAAACCAGAGGTAATCTACCAGAGGGAAAAGTCAGCAACTCTAAATTACCTAGAAGAGGAAATTTAGGGTCTTTAGAAAAAGATGTATTTTGGGTATAAGACTAATCTCATTTTCAACATATTCAAGAATGGTCTGTCAGTACTAAAAATTAATTGAATAGATATTTTCTTCTTCCTGTTAAATAAAGTAGTTCTCTCATTAAAAAGAAAATTATAAACTGAAGACATGGATCAGATGTAGAATATTTGCCTAGCATTCATAAAGCCCTGGAATTAACCCCAGTATCACATCCTCACACAACTATAAACCTACAGACATACATAGGTTTTAAATATCTTTCCTACACTCTACATGCTAATATTAGATATATAATGATAAAATATAGGTAGACTGAGAACCCAAATTATGGTGAAGCCATTCATTTATTTGAGATATAAATGTTTAAGATTTAGTTTAATTATTTTAAGTTATGTGTATGCATGTGTGTCTGTGTAGAGGTATGTGCACATGAATGCATATGTCTGCAAAAGCCAGAGGTGTCAGATTGACCTGAAGCCACCTGAAGTGGGTGGTGTGACTCAAATGAGTCTTCTTGAAGAAATCTTAACCACTGACACATCTCTCCAACCCAAGATGTAAATTTTATAAATGATAAACTTTTAAGTAAATATAAAAAGTTCACAATTTTATAAAAAGGATTAAAATATGTCACAAAAGAAGCCAAACCAGTATGTTTAAACAATAATTTTATGTACCTTTTTTTTTTTTTAAGAAGATAAGCATTTGCTGGGCAGTGGTAGTGCATGCCAGCACTTGGGATGCAAAGACAAACAGATCTCTATGAGTTCAAGGCCAGCCTGGTCTACAGAGCGAGTTTCAGGACAGCCAGGGCTGTTACACAGAGAAACCCTGTCTTGAACTCCCCCACCCGACCCCCAAAAGAAACTAAACATTGAAAAAAAAAAAGATTCTGATATCAGCAAATATGACAGTTCCTGCTTTAGTAAAACAAAATTAGTCATTTTTTATACCTTATTTTTTCAAGCTAGTGAGTGGTATTTCTTAATATGACAACAAAGAGAACTAATTTTTTTTTTTAAATATTTAAGGTGAAAAACATCTTAGATAAACCAACTGTAGAAAAGTTCTCTTGTTGCCGGGCATTGGTGGCGCATACCTTTAATACCAGTACTCCAGAGGCAGATAGAGGCAGAGGCAGAGGCAGTGGATCTCTGAGTTCCAGGCCAGAGGGAGTTCCAGGACAGCCTCCAAAACAATACAGAGAAACTCTGTTTCGAAAAACCAAAAAAAAAAAAAAAAAGAAGAAGAAGAAGAAAGAAAGAAAGGAAAGAAAAGTTCTCTTGTTTTAAAAATATGTTTACTTTGGAGAAACTATACAACTATACATGTAGAGTATATAATTTTCAACCCATATATTAATTAAGTTATCTGTATTTCAGAATGTAAGTGTGATATTTATGAAAGCAATGCTATGATGATGACTGGTGAATATTTGTGAAGCACAGCCAAGTGAAATTTACTTACTAAACCAACTGATAAGGTTTAAGACATATTACACAGAGCATGATATCTGGCATTTGAGAAAATAGAGTAGCAGCAGTCAGGTCTCTCTGGCTCTTTCTTGCCCTTCTGTCCTGAAACAGGCTGACTAGAAGTCTCTGACCTTCCTCTGAAGTCATTATGAAATGACTTCATTCTAGAGGTGACCATCATACCTAGAGAAATTGATGTATCCTGGAAGACACTGGCTAAAGGTAAGAATTTAAACAAAGAAGCCTGGCTAGCATCCCCCAGCTTATGTCCATTAGGTCATAGCTCCTTAGTCTAGCCATACCTTTACACAACTGTCTACACATCATCAAATCTGAGCATAAGAACATGTCTCTGTTTCTTTGGGTCTTTATTTGAAGGCTGTTTCATATCAAGTGTATATATATTTGTATGCTTATTCTATTGTTAATCTTGTTGACACTTCAGCCATTAGTGTTGTGATGATGTGTGTGTGTGTGTGTGTGTGTGTGTGTGTGTGTGTGTGTGTGTGTGCAAACTTCACAAATTCAACATTTTCTTCTCTTTCCCTCTCTCACCCCAACTCCTTATCTTCTTGCCCCAATCTAAAGTGTTTTCCTCAGAAACAAGCTAGAATATAAGAGGTATCAATACTGAAACAAGGATCTATTGCTGGTAAAGCATTAGTATGTGAATCCCAGGAACAGATGAATATACTAAAACCTCATGTAGCACAAAAGAATGATAATAACATTCTAACCACTAGGTATGGACAAAGATTTTTCTTCTAAATTTCCTTGGGTCTCTGAAAATATATGACTTACAAAAGACTCAATGTATTACATGAAACATAAAATTTATGATACCAAAACTCCTAGAAACTATGTTTTATATAATTTGTCTATAATTATAATTCTATTGCAATTTCAACATGGAAGAATATCTAACAAAAAGTCTCCTGGATCCATCAACAAAAACAGATGTCTTCTGAAATTTATTCTACTAGAATTTTTATTTTAGAATTTTTACTCTAAAAATTAATTTATAACTAATTTATAATCTTAACTGTAAAACTTGGGTTCCCATACCTTGAACAAACAAAATAAGTGTTATATAGGAGTATTATTTGAATCTAAAATAAGTTGAAACTGGTGCACTAAGGTAACTTATGGTAGGACGGCAATAACACTGAGGCCCATCTGCTCTATATAGCAAGCTCTGGGATGGCCAGAGCTACACAGTGAAAGCTTGTTTCAACAAACTAAAAGCCACTAGTGTCACTAAATTATTATACCACTCCCAGAGTATTTTCAACTAATATTCATGCCATTTACCAGTGCTATCTCATCAACAGTACCCAGAAATAGTTCTGCAGATATATATATATATATATATATATATATATTTCCATGTTTTCAGTTGTAGTGAAACCTACCTGTACTAAAAAGGATTTTAACAAGCATATTAGCTCTAAGAAAAGTTAGTGTTTAAAGAAAAAAATCAATTATCTGAAAACAATATTCAAAGTACTCACGTTGATGCCCAACCCATCAAAGGATTTTCCCATCTCTCTCTGGTATCAAACTCCAGCTTCCATTTCTTTGTGTTGTTTACTCCAGACTGCATATTATTTCGAGCAGGAACAAAGATCCTGACCTTTCTTGTTTTGATGTGCTCTTCTGGAACACCTGTTAAAGTAGTGATATCCTGAGGAAGAACAAGAAAACAAACATCTTTGATCGCCTGCATATCAACCCACATGCCTTTCCCACTTCCTATCTCCATATGCTTGTTTTCTGATTTGTTTAAAAATTGGGATAATCTTTCTGGCTTACCTCACTACTACCCTGATATTTTGTTTTATAAATCGCCATTGTGCTACCTGTAAATAATGAATTTGAGAACTGGTATTGCGGTACAGTGAAAGAGGAACTATCAAAATTTCTCTCTCCTTTGTACAGATTGAACCCAAGGTTTTCTGCAGGCCAAGCCAGTGCCCAACCACTGAATTATGAACAGTTCGTCATGCTATTCCTTTCCTTTCTTTCTTTTCTGCACAGACTCTCTTGTATCCAATAGCTAAAGACAACTTTGAACTTCTATTTTTAATGCTCCTGCTTCCACCTCTAGAGCCAGCATAATCATTTCTGAGGAGTATGTAGTCAATAGTTCTTACTTTGTGACAGGGGATAACTGATGTTATAGAAGCATAAAAGGCCCATTAAGGGAAAGTTGTTACCTCCTAGCCAAAAGAATGGAATCTGTCTCCTCCCTTAATAGTTAATCTCATGGTACTAGCCAATCACCTAGTCAAGAGACCATCCTGGGGGATGGGTATCCACCTTAAGTCATGCTAAAGAGATAGGAGGAGTAATTAATGCTTAATATGGATAACTTTTCCTTCCCAGAATTCCTACCCCCTATTTGGGATGTGGGGGAGTGGTATGTGGAAGTCAGGGTTGATTTCATCTATCTTTCTCAATTGCATGTTCATCTTATTTTTGAGACAAGGTCTCTCACTGAACTGGAAGTTCACCTGTTGGCTAGACTGGCTGGCCAACAAGCCCCATGGATCCTTCTTCCTCTACCTTCCCAGAGCTGGGATTATAGGTATATGCTGCTGTGCCTGGCTTTTCTATGGTTCCTGAGGATCTGAACTCAAGGCCTCATGTTTGTGTGCCAGGAGCTTTACCCACTTAGCATCCAAACCTTCAACACATATAGCATTCTTTTAAATAAAATATTTCAAATCATTAGGGACAGGGATGGAACATTGCATCCCATGTGTGAGGCCCTGAGTTCCATTCCCAGTACTATCAAAGGAAGGGGAAAGTTAATAAAGAAACTTTGAATAACTGCTTAAAATTAAGAAAGAGAATGAAATGGTTACATCAAACTTGTAAAACAAGAAAACATAGCCTGTTTTGTTAGGTTTTGTTTCAATGTCACATATATCCTCTAATGAAGGCTACTTACTTGTAGCTTGTTTGTTAGTGCTATGAATCAAAGCGCTATATTAGGTACTAGGGAAACATGTTTGTGTTAAGATTGTTACTTCAGTGAGTACCCAATTCTCTGCTTAACACAGTATCTTTCTCCCTGTACCATGAGACATGGTTATTTTGTTACAGCAATAGGCTTCCTTGTGTGTACTGTGTGGAATGTCTGTGTGTGTGTCAGGTTTCTTTCTCAGTTGCTCTCCACTCTATTTACTGAGATGGTCTCTCACTAAAACGGAAACTCGCTGATTTGGCTACTTAGGCTAGTTTGCTTGCTCTGGGGTCTTCTGTCCCCCACTCTCAAACCCTGGGATTATACTCCAGCAGTTATATCTGCTAAGCTTTTATGTGGGTGGAAAGGATCTGAACTCTGACTCTGACATTTATGCCACAAACACTTTATCCCTTAAGCCATCTCCTCAGCCAGATAGATATGAACATCTAATGTGTACTGACATTAGATTTTTTTCAAAGTTTTCTTACATCTAGTATAAAAGGCAACAAAGTGCTTTATATCTAGGAGACAAGAAAATGATATGACTACAATTAGTATAGAAAACTTAAGTATTAATAATGAATGGTAGCTTCAGAATAATTTTATTTTTGTGTGTGAGTGCAGGTGCAGTGTACTTCTGGACACACACACACACACACACACACACACACACACACACACTTTTTTTGAAGGGGCTGGGAATTGAACTTAGGGCTTCACACATGGCGTGGCAAGAATTCTATTACTAAGGTATATTTCTAGCCCAAGTGTTACATTTTAAGAAGTGACTTTCTAAAGAATAGTCCTGTACTTAGAGCTTGAAGTGACATGGCTCTGTGGGAGGGGTCCTAGATGTTTACTTCTTCCTTTGCAACTGCCATTTAGTTTATTAATATTCTCTATTGTTGAGCTAATATATTTTCTAAAAAGATTTATTTATAATTATGTCTGTGTGTCTGCAGATACGTACAGATATGAGAGCAGGTGCCTCAGGAGTGCAGAAGAGGATGTCAGATCCCCTGGAGCTGGAATTACAGGAAGTTGTGAGCTACATGTGATGCTGGGAAGTGAACTCCGGTCCCCTGGAAGAATAGTTCTCACTCTTCTAAGCCATCTTTCTAGCCCCAGATTGATCATATTTCCTTTTTGTAGTTGTAGCAACATATAAACAGCCATTATAAGCATAGTATAAAATTAATGAGCAGGTGTCTCCTCCAAATCCCACATCAATGCCTCTATTCTGCACCAAGTTTCCAATGAATGAAACTATGCTACATGGCTGTTTCTCAACAGTATGAAAGGAAACATTCAATTAACTTTTGTTACCTCCAGAAAATAAGAATATAGGAAGTATTTGTTTTTCCATACTTCTATACTGTGATGCATATCTGACAAAACAATTCAATAAAGCTTATACTTTATATATGAATTCATAACTATTGATGTTTCATGTCTCCTCAAATTCTGGCATTCTTTTTATTAACACATGTCCTTAATTTTAAGCTGATATTCAAGAAAGGAGTTTCTGAATTTTGAAGCCCTTGCAAGCTGTCCTGACAGACTCACTGTTTTTGCCTGCAGAAGATGTGAGCTCCTGCCACCCAGCTGAGCTGCTGCAGGACAGAATACAAAAGCGTGGCACTCACATGCTTGAGACACCTAATGGTCAGAGCTCTACAATTCCAAGTCCCTGCAGATGCACTCTCAGCTTACACAAACTTATTTCTCATCCTAGTAAAATGCACTGTTGTTATCATTTCATGCAAACAGCATCAGCTAGTAACAAGAACCTGTTCTCAAACACACACTGCAATGGGCTAATGCTCCCATTCCAAGATTCCATTCAAACACTAACACTTGGAAAGATCTGTAAGCCCTATGTTGAATGTCTTCAATGACTTCCTTTTTCTCTCAATTCACACTGAACAACCTGTGACTCATATTTTGCAAACAAGCAAACAAATAAAACACCAGTAAAATTAAACTGCTTAATTAGTGGAATTCCCTATGGATTTCTACTTTTGTTCTAAAATGCTGACCACCTATGCTCTTTCTAAAATACTGTTTTTATATAAGAAATGACCTAAATATGTCAATATTATCTTTTATTCTTTTTTCAAATTTCCTAGAAATCAGGAAAAAGTCAAGTCATGTAAGATATAAGAAGCTATCAAGTTGGCACCAAAGAATCTCAACTGACTAGTTAAGAGTATCTGTTAGTTCTAATAAATCATATTACCACACAATTTCCTCAATTTTAAAGTTTCTTACTTTTAAACAGTTGAGTTAAAAATGAAATCTATTTCTACTATTAAAGAATGTAACTATCCTAATAATATTAAATGATAAAATATTAGTTTTCCATATTAAAAACTGATTCGGTTATCATCTGTCCCCACTTATCTTGTGTGAATTCAACTTTTTTTCTTTTTTAACAAAGGAAGTAAGGAACAAGCAATGGGAAGTTGGTGTCACAATGCAGAAAAACCTCCCAGCAAGCTTCCTGCAACCACCCAGCATTTAGTCTTGCTAGCCCGGCTCTTTTCAATACCAGAATTTCACACATTTCAATGACTATTATGACTTCAAAGAATCAAATTTTCATCATTGTCCGTCATCTGCCGGCTGATTTGTATAAAGGAGTTCTCCAGCATGCACTCCAAACAAAAGCCTCCTTACTTCTGTGGCTATATATCAAGTTTAAAAGTTCTGTTTGTGACAGTTGTGTCTTTGGTAAATTAGGGTGACACTGAAGAAGTGCAGCTGCTCTGCAGGAACCTCCTTTTTGGCATCATTTCACTTAAATAAAAACTGAATAATTAGCTTCTGCCTTTATTAAACCACAAAAATGCCACTAGCTTTAGTAATTACTTCCGGTTGCCCCACCCACTTACCCTTATCAGTTCACACTTATTGTAGAGAAATAATTAAGTGCTTTTACATTTCTAGATGAAGCTTTACTAGAAATCTTGCTGCATCCAAAGAAGTCACAATGTTTACCAGGCTATTTGGTAATTAGTTCACTAACAGCATTAGCATGGGTTGAAGCTAGAAATTTAGTAAGAGTGTCCATTAGAACATTAGTGACAATACTTATAGAGACTTGCTCTATTACAGGATATTAAAGACCAATTATGTTTAAATTATAGTAGAGTTAAAATTGATCTAAATTTTGATGACTGTTAATACTTTACGTCAATCATGAAAGATTAAAAAAAATTTAGATTTGTAATAATAACTTCCTTGTATAATACCCATCTGTAATTTCAACACTAGGGAGACAGAGGCAATAGGATTGTGAATTCTGGGCCACAGAGCAGGAAAGCCTCAAAAAGACAAACAGACAGACCAAAAACCCTTGCTTTTAAGTAACCAACAGAGACTTAGACCAAGAAACTCATTACAGGTTTAATGAGCAATTACAAAACAAGAATATATAGGATACATAGTTTCCACATAGTTAGTTACTTTGGAAGAATTTTAAAAATTGCTGGCCAAAGGAATTTAGATGTAATCATAAATGTTGAAGTAAATTTGAGTTGTGAAAGTAAATGCAATTCTTGTTTGTTTGCTCACCAACAAACTGGTGAAGAAATTCAAGCAGGTCATTAAATACTGGATGTGACACCCCTATATTTCCCATGTTGGGCAAAGTTATCACAGCACTAAAGTTAGAGTGCTGGTGTTATGAGGATTATAGGAAAACATCATGCAAACAAAACAAAAACTAGAGAACCTTTCAAAATACTAAAATACTTCTGTTATTCCTAGATTCCTCTGAGGAGGCAAGAACAATTGCTATAGAAACAAGGTATGTCAAAATTGGTTTGAATCCCAACTTTCAACCATAGGCAAACCTCTCTTGTTGCATATCCATAAATCAACATTCTTGTAAGCTACATACTGTGCTTAGCTTGAACAAGAATGTGTTACATACTGGACACAATGCTCCAGAGTAAACATCAACTCAATTCTCAAGAAAACTACTAGACATTTTTGAGATCCTACAAATAATGGGAAGCTGGTATCAAGATAGAGAAATATCCAATCTTTCTTGAAAACTGGTATCTAGTCAGTAGTTTTGCTTCAAGTCTGGAAAAAAGAAATACCTAGCCCGACGAAATACCTTCTCTTTGTAAGGGTTGGATACTGGAATGTTTTGGGCCAATCAGCCACCCTGTCTTTCTTCTCTCTCTCTCTCTCTCTCTCTCTCTCTCTCTCTCTCTCCCTCTCTCT